AAGAACAGTGTCCATGCAGCACATCCCTGATGACAGAGTGCAAATCAAGGTGTCTTCTTCAGTTTCCATCTAAGATAATTAATTTGGGGGCAAAGAAGGAATAAGCTGCTTGTTTCCACTTAATCTTCACTTGTGCCATTCCCCCCAGGAATATCTGGGTGTGGAGGAACAAGAAGAGGAAAAAATAAAAATTGCTGCTTTGAAGAAAAGGGCTGCCACCTTCTCTTCAACAGGTCCAAGGCTCTTTCTATTCTGTAAGATCAGGTATAACCTGAACCACCATCCTCTGCAGCCCCTTCTTTCCTCTCCAGCTTCACGTGTCCTTTGCTCCTACCCAAGAGTTTCTGCTGCAGAGGGACCCTGGGGCTGGATTTACCACATGCTTCTGCAGTGACCAAAGCCCTGGCCAGGCTTTCTGTTTAAAAACACATCAGTTAGCTTTTTAAACACTGCTATGGACAGGGTTTAACACCTGCAAAATCTGCTTGCTGGGCGTGACCAGCCTTAGGGTTGTCTTCAGAGGTGCAGCCCCGAGAGCCTGGATCCCTGCAGAAATGCCTCACCTGCCAGGGCTGCAGTGCCAGCTGAGGGACACGACTTGGGAGAGAAGGAAAAAAGATCTCTCTGTCCCAGGAGGTTCAGCCAGGGTCCCTTTCTGCTCCTCAGAGGGTGTTTATACAGTGCTCCAATACTGCTCTCTTTATGTCACTTGGCAGGTTCTAAAGTAAACCTACATGTACAAACATCTCCAGGAAATATATACAACTGTTATATAGTTAATTTATCCTCCCAAGTTCCCATGTGACACTTCAGATGTTAAACTCAGCTTTTACTCATGCTTAATGTCACAAGGATTTTCTTAAACTCCACTTGGAGTTGCTCAGACTCTTTATTAGGGATACAAACTGCCATGAATTTAATTCCTTTCTTGCAAAGGACAAGATTAATGGACAAATCTGATTTCCTTAAATGATAGGAATTACAAAATACAACTGTTCAAGGAGCAGATTGTCAGACTGGTGCTCTTCTGTGTATTGTGGCTGCAAAGCATTAGTGATTTGTTACTCCTGTTTGTGGGATTGTTACACTAAATCTCACAGCAATATTTTCCTCCTCAGATGGATAGTCTGACTTGGAACACTGGGGAAAAGAAATGAATCAGCTCTTCAAACAGTTTGATCAGAAGGGGAATTATTCATGCACACATTAATTAAATGCAGGCCATGTGGATACTTCATTAATACTTGGCAATTGTCTAGAATTACTTGAAGAAGTGCAGAGATCTTGAAATAATAATTTTAAGATTCTTATATGTTCAGTAAAAAAAATGTAGTTCGACTTTATCTCCTAAAAAGCATCTTAAGGAGCGATCACCCAGCCAGCTGTGGGAGATTAAAGGAAATTCTTTTAATTAGTTGAACCTCTCTGAGTGATTTACAATTGCTTTCACTAAGAAGCTTCTGCAAATGCTACCTGGAACTGATCACATTTTAATAGGCTTAGCCAAGGTCCACCAGGGGATGCACAAAACCTCCCCTTGATGTCCATCAATTTGGCTCAACATGGTTATCAATAACCCTTCTTTCCCTTTCCACAAGATAGTTTGGCCATGTGTGCTTTCAGCTTGAAGCAAGCTCCAATATGATTTTTGAGCAGCTGTTTGGAAATGTGAGGCTGATGGGGAAGATTTATATTCCCTCTCTGTGTCTGGATGCAGCATGCAATGGTCTGGGCAGTGTACAGGAGGTTTTACCTGCAAAAAGGTAAGATATTATTTAGCTGCTTACTCTGAAAGGTGTGTATATTTAAGATTAATGTAGAATGTTACCAAAAGATTGGTGTATCAGGCTGTGCAATCAGAGAATATTCACCTTTCTGTGGAGCATCACCTGGTGCCCAAGAGACTTCCCGCTTTACAGCCCAGCCAAGGAGCAAGAACAAAAAGTGGAAGTGGTTAATAACTGGAGCAATTGAAGGAATATTGAACGGATGAAGGAGGGGATGAAATCTCCTTGTGCAGATGTTGCCCTGTTACCATCACAAAAGGGCTGGGAAGTTGCCAGCATCTCAAGCTCTCTTCTTTTGGATCCTCACACCTGGTGGACGTTGCCAGCGGAGAGGGAATTACAATCAGCAATCACACACTTAATGAATTAATGAGCTGGCTCCCAGGCAGCAGGGCTGACACTTCCCTTGATCCTCATCTCCCTAATTATTTTGCACACAAACGAAGTAAGAAAGGGTCAAGAAAATACATAAATGCTACCAAAGCAGAGGAAAATCATGCTGGGGATGTTCTGAATGAAGCTGCTACCCTGGCCACTTTTAGCTCCTAGTTGAATGTAAATAAATACATCACCTCAGTCGAGTGGGAGGAAGGAAGTCTTTGCTGTTCTGATCTCATCCAACTGCTCTGCACACTGTGAACTGCAAAAATGTATTTTCTGAGAGCTAGTTTTACAAGTTCTGAGAAATTCCATCCTTAAAACAAGATCAAGCTCTCTGTACTTCAGGTCCAAGTTCATTTTTGGAAACAGAAGATACTTCGACCCCTGTGAGGGGGGGATTTTGTGCCAACAGTTTTATTAGTGTGGACAAGTGTCATTTTTCTTTTCCCATCCTCTTTCATAAACTAGCCTAGACTATATACATGGATTTGGATGCCATGGATAAATCATGTGCAGCCTTACTTATTTTTTGCTGCTTTTCAGACAGCTCAGGGGCTGCATCCTTAGAAGAATAAGCTGGGAGGAGCAAGTGACAAAGGGAAACGTGAATCAAGCACCTCCAGTCATCAAGTGCATCTGAAAAATGCAATGAAGGAGGATTTCACTCACACATGCTAGATAATAAAAGCCTTTCTTCATGATGTGGTGAGAGACAGACAAAACTGACAGTGGGTTTCTTATTTGCTGGGTCTTCCTCAGGCCAGAACAGGAAGAAGTGGCCACTACCTTATTGTCTATCTGCATCTCTGCCCGTGGGGCCACACATCTGACCCACTTTGGCACCCTTTCAGGCTTCAGATGGAAACCCTCACTTTTGCTAACTTTTCTCAAAGTTTTTTCACAAAAACAAATAACAAAAGCAAAAAAATATGCCTGGAGGAAAAAAATAATAATAAAAAAATAGAAAAAGTAAAAGAAGAAGAACATTAAGCTTATTGTTCAAGGAAAGGAGGGCTGCTTTTCTGTGCCTCAAAGGAAAGGTGGACCTGTTGGTGAGGGATGCTCTTCCACCACCACCAAGAAATTCCCAGGTGTAAATTGAAGTCTCTCTTTTATTATTCATGAAGACCTCTTTCCTCTTGATGTTAAAAAAAAGTATACAATACTAAAAAAACAGAGAGAGAGGTGTGAGATGTTGTAGCATGAGTGAGAAGAGGCAGGTTCTCACTCAATGGCAGAAGCGTTAAGGAACAGGAGGAGGAGGCAGGGAGCTGGGAGACTGGCACTTTCCTCTTGTGTTAAAAAAAAGTATACAATACTAAAAAAACAGAGAGAGAGGTGTGAGATGTTGTAGCATGAGTGAGAAGAGGCAGGTTCTCACTCAATGGCAGAAGCGTTAAGGAACAGGAGGAGGAGGCAGGGAGCTGGGAGACTGGCACAGCCCCAGCCTTGCAGGGTTGGTGCTCCATCCTTATCCCTCTGTGAATGATGGTCAGCTGGGATGCAGAGGCAGTAAACAACCTCAGACCAACAAGATAATTACCAATAATTCAGTGTCATTTGGGTTTTTCTCTCCTTTTCCTGAGCAGGCACTTCCCAAGGCGATATTGGCAGCCAGGGTGCACATGGTGGCTTGCCCAGGGCCTGGGCATAGTGTGTTGTGTGGGACACAGCCCTTGTGAAAAACAGCTGGAAAATTCTCATGAAGGTTCCTGTTGCCTTCTCTAGGGATTTCTTTTCCTATTGAAAAAACATCTTTGGCAAATGCCCTTCAGTTACCAAGAACTGGGCCATGAAAAACACTGGTCAAGAAGCCTTCTGCTCCCCAGCTCTCACCATCTAATGTGCTTGAGGCCTCTCCCAGTGTATAATCTGTACCCTCATACTTCATTAGATACTTTTTGGGTACTATTTTTAACCAGCTTTTGCTTTTTCATCTCTCACTTAAAGCTACCAGGTTCTTTAGTCTCTTTCCCAGCTTATTTAGTGAAGCTACCCAGTGTTTTGCAGTGCAGCTCAGTTCCCAGTGTGAGATTTAACCTCTGCAGAAAAAGAAAAGGAATAAAGTGATATATGCAAGGCTTAAGTTGGTGCTGACAGAATCACTGACATTCTGGGCTAGTTCGGTGTTTTCAGAGGCTCTGCATGTGAGCAGCTCTGTCTTGTAGCTGTTTAACCTGTGTTATGGGTCCACTCCAGCTGATCTGCTCAAACTCAATCCCACCAAACGAGTTTGTTTTTAAAACTACATCAGTCCCCCAGTCACAATCAGAGCCTAAAACCAGCACCAGCTGAAAGGTGTTCAGGTCAGAAATAGAAAAGGAAACAGGAAAACTTCATGTTATCAAGCTTTTGCTATTTCACAGAACATGAAATGTGTTTTTTTCCTTAAATTTGCTATTTTCATTTACCTGTTTCTTCCCCACTGAGCAGAACTCATTAAATAATACTCAAACATCTCTTTAGCTTCCTTTCTCTGTATGATTTAACTTTTTTTATCCTGTAGGGGAAGATTAGATCTCAGAGAAGTGACTCTGGGAGAAAAGAAAATAATGAAAAATAAGTATTAAAATTCTATAGAAAACTCCTGGTGACTCAGCAAGAAATAGATGAAGAAGTAAAGAGACTAACAGAACAAAGACATTTATTTTTCATAATCTGGGGCTTTGAGGTAAGAACTGGACAATTTTGGCAAATGGAAAAGTATCTGGGGGAGCTGTGGGTTGCCAAAAAGAGAGAATTTGTGTTTAAACTCTGTTTTGGGTGACAACATTTACCAGTTTCAACCCATGACTCTTCAAAAGTGATTTGCTCAGCCATGCGGGTACTCACGTAGGACCCTGACGCCGTGTTTCAGGGCCTGGACGCGGCTGGGCTCCATGGACATGCTGAGCATGGTCTGCTGCCCACCAATGGTGCACACCTGGTTGTCCTGGGCAGCCTGCTTGAACATGACCATGAGCTGGTTGGCGATGATGGTGTTGAGCACAGAAATGACGACCATGGGGAACACGAAGGAGATGAAAGTGTTGACCTGTGGGGGAGAGAGGTGGCAAGGTCAAGGCTTGAGAAGGATCAGTATCTGAAGGGGGCCTATAGGAAAGCTGGGGAGGGACTCTTTACAAGGGCTTGTAGTGAGAGGACAAGGGGGAATGGGTCAAAACTGAAAGAGGAGAGATCCAGGTTGGACATTAGGAGAAAGTTCTTTACAGTGAGGGTGGTGAGACACTGGAACAGGCTGACCAAGGAAGCTGGGGAAGCCCCATCCCTGGAAGTGTTCAAGGGCAGGTTGGAAGGGGCTCTGAGCAACCTGATCTAGTGGGAGGTGTCCCTGCCTATGCAGAGGGGTTGGAAGTAGATAGATGATCTTTAAGGTCCCTTCCAACTTAAACCATTTGATGATTCTATGATTTTATGATCTGTGGGGCAGGAGATTGTGCTTCATTTCTCACAGCAACAAACAGCCCTTCCCTCCTCTTGCCCCGCTGGCTTTGGGAGCCTTATGGCACAGAGGGAAAACAAACCCCACTGGCACATTCATTCACATGGGTCAAAACTCAAAAAAGGCAAATTCATTTGAGTCCAATTAGGTTGCCTTCCCCCTCTCAGTGCAGTTCATTGCCAGAAATGTCTTGACTGATGTATATCATCTCACAAACAGCAGGGTGCTTTTTAGCTTTCCTTGTGTGCAGTGTGACTTCTAAATAACAGCATGTTATTGTCTTTTTTTCTTTATTAGGAGCACTCCTTGGGATCTTCTTAAATTACTTTTTTGTGCGTGTGCTCTGTCCCTTCCCTGCAGATTTAATGACAGTGTTTTGTTATCTCATAACCAAATTATCCAATAAACCTTGTGTCTTAAAGGATTAAAATTGATTGGAATAAACAAGTGGAAGTTGTAATGTTTTTAGTGCAAATTATTTGATTACTACAGTTGTGATAAAATTAAATGGAGGATCAAATTAAGAAGTGATTGAATCAAGTGGAAGTCACTGTTTGTGTCAAATGAAAGCAGGAAGGTTTTGTGAGAGTCTTCTGTGCTGTCTAGAAACCCTGCTGGAGCTGGGCTCATCAAGTGGAACACATGCAGGATTTGCCCACTGCTCTGCTGGGCAGCTCGGGGGGGGCTCCGCACACCCCTGAGATGGATACAGGGCAAATCAGAAACCCCTTCAGGTTTAAAAATTACAAAATATTAACAAGAACTGAACCGTGTGCTCCAGATCACTGCAGAAGCAATTTTGTTAAAGGTGATAATGTAACACAAAGATAAAACAACTAAAACCCAACAGGGAATTTTGTCAGTGGTAGGATTAAAACAGCTACAACTACTAAACCCAGTGGGGAACTGGTAGGGTTAAAAAAAAGATTAAACTCCTAATTCTAGTAGGGCATGTTACAAGGCAGGTTAACTTTTTCCCCAGACAGCCACTCATCTCACACCCCAATGCCCTGAAACAGAGAAGCAGCCTGCCACCCCAAGCCCCCCCCATGTCCCTCTGCAGGCTGCAAAGCCAGGAAAGCCTCATCTACACATGGGTGCTCCATTTGCTCCGATGGAAACATCCCCTCTGCACCCACCCACCAGCACCATCACCTTGGTGCAGATCCAGTGTCCAGTGCAGACGTGTGGTCTCTTTGCTCTGTAGGGATTCAGAAATGCCAGAGGTGAATGGAAGGATGGAGAAAGAATCCAGCCACACCCCCAGGATGCTGCAGGGGGTCCACACAAGGAAGAAACGAGTAGCACATGGAGGGCACGTGCACTGGCCATCAGGAGCCCTCATGTTTCTTAGGTCATACATTTGAGAAAGATGTAACTCCTCTTTCAGTGCTGACAGGCAGTGCTGCTGTTGCCAAAGTTTTCTTTAGGTGGATCAAGCCCCTGTACAGCTTTGTGCTCCAGAGCTCAACACCTTTATCAGAAGTCCCAGCACCCTGCACAGTAAGAACGTCATCTCTTGTTGATGCTGTTAATTAATAATGATGGAGCTCCTTGGAAGTTTCTTGCTCCACCCCGCCCTTACAAGCCATTAACGGCCTCTTGTGAAACATCAAGCAGTTTTCTGAGCTTCTAAAACATAACATGTCTCACAGAGTTCTGTGCATAAATAGGAGTTTCCTTTGGAGTTGCCTCAAGATGCAGAGAAAGATCATTAAGCAGCAGGGACCAGGTTCTCAGCCACTACAAAATGACAGGTTTCACTCAGTAATTTGTGCTTGTGAAGAACCTGCTTCATTTATTTAACCTTCAGGATGCAGCTGGGCTGTTCTGGTGCACACTGGGGTGCAATGACTTGCTCAGATTTACTGGATCAGACGAGGAAACAAGCCCTGTATTTCCCCACCCCTGTTTCTAAAGCTTTAGTTGCTGAATCTCCTTCAGCTGAGCAGAGCTTGCACATCAGCTGAAGGAAACACTGCTCTGGAAATGCTTCACTCAGTCACCTTCAGAGTTTATTTGCTTTCCTTCAAAGACTTTGCCCTAACTACAAATTAGCCTTGCCTAATATAATTATGCAGAACTCAAAAAGTCTTTTCTGAGCTTTCTTTAAAGCCTTGAGTCGTTCCATAACTGTATTGTGAAGTCTCTAAAGAGCTTGGGCAATTGTCTAGAATAACATTCATTTTTTCCTTTTATGAATTGTTATGGGAAAATTGTGCAAATTGCCTGCTTTCTATGAAAAGCTGTATTTAAGGATTTTTTTCCATGTCCTAATTTGTTTCCAATCTCTTGTATAGTTAAAAAATCAAATCAATATTTTCCCCAGAGGCAGAAGGTTTTAATTTTCAGAACGAACTATTTGCAAACACAAACTCTCAAGGACCGTAAAGGCTAGAAAAGCAAATCCCCCTCCTACAAACCCTCTGTATTCTGTGTTTTTTCCTGTGAGCTGCTTGCTGGTTTGTTCGAGTCCAGACCCCAGCACACTGTGCATGTCAGTGCAGAAACACTTCATTTCCAGGTGACTTTGCACACTGCTGGAGCTGATGCCTGAAATGCCCCTTCAAAGCCAGTGGAAGTTTTCCACCTGTTTCCAGAGGAGCTGGTCTGGGATCCCAGGACTACACCTTCAAAGGTCCCCAGGAGGAGGAACATGTATGGAGGTGTTTAATAGGATTTTTTTGCAGCCCTGAAATTCCTGACATCAGTGGGAATAAAGTGGTTATGGCTGTCAGTCAATACCTAGGGGAGCCTTTTTGTCCTTGCATAGCTTTGCAGGTGGCTCTGGCCCTGGGAAGGAGGATTTAGACAGTGATTAGGTTCATTTTTGACCTGGAAGTCTTGGGTTTTATGTTGGCTCACTGTGGGAAGGACAGTTTCTGTGATACTAGGGCTGAAATAATTCTGGGTTCAGGGTTGTTTAGACACACAAGCAGAGTGGTCTGAGCATATCTCAGGTCAGTGTGGTTCAGTCTGGTTCTCCTCTCCATCAAAATGGATGTGTTGGGCATCATGAGCAGGAACACAAAGCTGTGCATGGAGAGGCTTAGCCCTAGGGTAAAGAAACCCAGCACTACAACCCAAGAAAATCCAATGCTACCATGTTTGTCACTGCCAGGAGAGGATGGAACACTAACCCACTGCCATGCTGCTGCTGCTGCTGGTGCTCTGGTCAGCAGTGCGGTCCAAAAAGCCCCTCAAACATCAGGCTGGCAGCACCTGAGGTGTGGGATAGTCCTCAGGGCCAGACTGTGTTTGGTGTCATACAGAACTGGCCCTCCAAGCACTGCTGGAGCAGCAACCCTCAGAGACCAGAGTCACTCTGCTCTGGCTCTCTGGGCAGGAGGGTGATGCTGTGGTTGCTGCCTGCAGGAGAGCTCCCCACAGAGACCTCTGCCTCACCCTGTCCCCATGAAGGTGTGCCTGGCACATCTGATCATCTGAGGGATGCAAAGACATGGCAGTGACACCTGCTCTGACTCAGCCAGTACTCAGAGGTCCCCCAAGGTGGTGACACTGACTTCCCAGCTGCATCTTGGTGGCCATGGGGGTCCTGGCCTGCCTGGGCACTGAACCTCCCTGACTCTCTAAATATGAGACACTTATCATCCCAGCTTCCTCTCAGCCCTCTCGTGTCAAAGGCTTTAATTTCAGCTGAAACATGAAGCATTAAAACTATGCAGGGATTTTCAGGAGACAGAAGACAGAGCAAATCTGGGGATGGGGCTTCAAAAGCTCATGAGAAGACAAATGGAAATTTATGGAAATGGAGTCACATTTCTGGAAGGAAAAAAGTGCAGTTACCAGCCTCTCTGGACAACAAAAATCAGCCTTTACATGAGACTAGAGAATTCAGAGGGATGTGAGTGTCCTTATTCCTTCTGAACAGGAACAAGGAAGAGACACAGCAAAGGGACCAGAAAAATCAAGTGACAGAAAACTAGGTGCCAGTGCTTGGGTTTGTGACTCTTCCTAAATATTTTTCATGGAAAAATGCTCCCCTGGCTCTGCTGAGCTTCATGCTGAAGTGCTTTGCTTTTGCCAAGTTGTGTCTCAAATTAGTTGGCTGCTGTGGTTTCCCTGGGTTACCACTGAGAGCAGACATCAGCTCCCTTGCAATGGTGATGGAGAAGATGAGCATGTTACTTCACAAAGGGACTCCCCAGAGGTCTTAAGTGAGTCCTGTAGACCAGAAGTCTTATCTTTTTGTGCTCTTCTGGGGGGATGTGGACTCAGAGGCCACTTCTGAAGATACTTCTTCCTTCCCTCCTGCAAACCCAGACTCATCTTCTGCATATCTGAAGGGGAGGAGGGGAAATATCACATCTATTTCAGGCATTTACAGTCACCTTCATCCCAGCTAAACTCAGTCCTCTGAGCCACCTGCAGCTGACTGTCCCCACCATCCACTGCTGTGTGACTTTGGAGGGGTCCAGAACTGCTAATGGGTGTTTGTAGGTGCTTTATGAGGTCTTGAAGCACTTAAGTGGTTAAAAATAAAATATTAGCTTAAAGTTTCTTCCTGGAGAGAGAGAAACAACTTAAACACCTCCACTGAAAGTATTTATAATTAAAAAAACCCCAACCAA